GCAGTGGACGGCTGTGGTGGCGGCTCGGCGGTGCCGCCGTGCACCCTGGGTCGTCGGGCAGCGGGGTGGCGGCACGAGGTGCGCGGGGAAGCGTTGTTCTACGTGCTGATGAGCTTGCTGGTGTTGTGCGGCGGGTCCCGACGGCGTCCGTGTCGCTAATCCAGATGGCAAATTTAACAAATTTGATCTATAGAAGGAATCAAATCATAGAATGAACTATCCGTGAAACTATTTTACGCGGCTGACCTTTTTGTGTGACGCCCGACACGAAGGCGCCACACTACACTGTGCAACGTCTCACAGATAGGCGCTACACCGCCAGCGTTGCACACGTATGATCAAAAAATTACTAAGTCGTGTGCAGCGCCTGAGAGCTAGGCGCCACACTATACAGTGTAGCGCCTAGCTCCTAGGCGTTGCACTAGTGCAGCGCCTAGCTCCTAGGCGTTGCACTAGTGCAGCGCCTAGCTCCCAGGCGTTGCACTAGTGCAGCGCCTGAGAGCTAGGCGCCACGGGTCAGCCGCGTGAAATAGTTTTACGAACAGTTTATTCTGTGATTTAATTTCGTTTATAGGTTAAATTTGTCAAATTTACCCCAGGTCGGGCAGCCTCGGGTCTGGTACATGGTGGGCTGCTTCGATTCTGCTGGCAGCGGGCGGCGTTGTGCATGATTTGGCTGCGTGTGTGGTCCGGCTCCGAGGCCACACACTCGCACGTAGGGCTGGAGCCGCCCTCCCTCCCTGCCCAAGAAAAAGGATGTCCCATCCAAAAAGAGCCGGAGCGGAAAAAGAAGTCGGAACGCTGTCACGACCCAAGTACGAATGGGACTTTTTTTAGGGGTAAACCGCAACTGTATTTAACTAAACAAGGTCTGGGATCTCGTCCGCTACAATGTGCAGAATACAGTCAGGTGGCATGGCACCTCATGCCAAATGACACTACTCTCATTGTTAACCCCCTTTCTAGCTAAGACCTGAGCTGCAGAATTGGCAGTCCGCCGAGCCCAAGTGACCATATAGGGCGTGTTCGGATCTCCTTTAGCTTCTCAAAACTTCTCATAACCAGCTTCTCCTCCTCGCTTCTAACTCCACGCAGCGATCGCAGAAACGTTCGGCTGCATCGGCAGCTTCTTGTAGCGTTGCATCCTAGCTGGCAGGCAACAGGCCTGTCGGGCGCCCCTTTGGGTTGGCTGGAGGCAGCCCAACTCAGTGAACAGGCAGCCCAACTCAGCGAACGAGGGTGAGAGGAGAGGAAAACGATTCAATCGAGCGATTCTTTTCTATACTTGGAGGAGCTCAAATGAAACGTTTTCTTAGGCGGTGGCATATTGGTTGTAATACGGGTGAACTCCAGATTCTTGTTTCGGTGGAGCTGGGCCGAAGCTGCTCCAGATTTTTGCACTACAAGCGACCACAGCTTCCCGAAGCCAGCTTCTTGGTGCTATTTCGTTCGGCTGGACTCCGCTCCAGGAATTTGTGAAGCTTGGCGTGGAAGGAGATCAGAACACGCCCATAGTCTTGTCGCGAATGAAGCATCTCCTTAATATCTATTTTTTTGCGGAATATCTCCTTAATATCTTCAATATACAGTCTAAATGGTGACATGTTCTTGGCCCCATTTTTCAGCATGGAGACTACACTTTTGTTGTCTAACTCCAGATGAGCTTGGTGAACATCACTTGCACTGCACGTCTTGTTGCTAAAATCTCGGACAGTTCAGCATTGGTGATGTATGGGAATAACACTGCTGCCCCCACTACTAGGAAAAACCTTATACACAGAAATTTACCAGTAGCGCCGGTCAGAAAGAAGCGCTACTACTATTTACCAGTAACGCCCGGTCACAAAACGCGCTATAGCTTAGGTTAATAGTAGTGCGTCTTCCGGAAGAAGCGCTACTACTACAATTCGCACATTGTTCTCGGCAGGCTAGGAATAGTAGTAGCGAGCTTATGTAAAGCGCACTGCTGCTAAGTTGGTTGTAGCAGCGTGTTTTCTGGGAAAAGCGCTACTACTAATGAAAATAAAATGAAATGAAAAACATATAGAAAAGTAAATGAAAATGAAAGAAATAAAAAAAGGGATAAAAAGAAAATGTGAAGGAAAATAAAAGAAAAAAATAAAGGAGAAAGGCGTAGCAGTAGCGTGCTTTCAGAACAAGCGCTATAGCTAATGTAGCAGTAGCGCATTCCTTGTACCCCCGCTATAGATAATTTCCTTAAATAAAGGAGAAAGGAAAAAAGAAAAGGAAATGAGAAAGGGAAAAGGAAAAGGAAAAAAGAAAAGGAAAAGGAAAATAAATAGCTACTGCCTATAGCAATAGCGCGTTTTGGAAGCCAGCGCAATAGGGCCCTCCTCTAAAAACACCATCGTAGTCCCTTAGGATCACTTCCCCTCCCCCTTTATTTTGCATCCTTGCCATAGCTCCGTCAGCATTGATCTTGATCCATCCCGGCTTTGGTGGTTTCCACTTCTCAGCTTGTTTTGGCTCCTTGGTCACCGTAGCTTTATCATGCACCGAGCGCCACTGCAACATATGACTATGAACCCTGTCCGCCACCACTCTAGCATCCGGGATTCTCTTACCATCTCTTGCCTCATTGCGAGCACACCATAGCCCGTACAGCCTCTGGATGATCATTTCTTTCTCTGTGTCTCCTGCGTCCAAAAGCCATCCCTTCATCCATGTTGGAACTGCACTCAGAGACCCATCCTGAAGTAAATATGCCCTAGAGGCAATAATAAAGTTGTCATTTATATTTCCTTATATCATGATAAATGTTTATTATTAATGCTAGAATTGTATTAACCGAAAACTTGATACATGTGTGAATACATAGACAAAACAAAGTGTCCCTAGTATGCCTCTACTAGACTAGCTCGTTAATCAAAGATGGTTAAGTTTCTTGACCATAGACATGTGTTGTCATTTTGATGAACGGGGTCACATCATTAGGAGAATGATGTGATGGACAAGACCCATCTGTCAGCTTAGCATAATGATTGTTAAGTTTTATTGATATTGCTTTCTTCATGACTTATACATATTCCTCTGGCTATGAGATTATGCAACTCCCGAATACTGGAGGAACACCTTGTGTGCTATCAAACGTCACAACGTAACTGGGTGATTATAAAGATGCTCTACAGGTGTCCTCGAAGGTGTTTGTTGGGTTGGCATAGATCAAGATTAGGATTTGTCACTCCGATTATCGGAGAGGTATCTCTGGGCCCTCTCGGTAATGCACATCACTATAAGCCTTGCAAACAATGTGACTAATGAGTTAGTTACGGGATGATGCATTACGGAACAAGTAAAGAGACTTTCCGGTAATGAGATTGAACTAGGTATGAGGATACCGACGATCGAATCTTGGGCAAGTAACATACCGATGACAAAGGGAATAACATATGTTGTCATTACGGTTTGACCGATAAAGATCTTCGTAGAATATGTAGGAACCAATATGAGCATTCAGGTTCCGCTATTGGTTATTGACTGGAGATATGTCTCAGTCATGTCTACATAGTTCTCGAACCCGTAGGGTCCGCACGCTTAACGTTCGATGACGATTTGTATTATGAGTTATGTGTTTTGGTGACCGAAGATTGTTCAGAGTCCTGGATGAGATCACGGACATGACGAGGAGTCTCGAAATGGCCGAGAGGTAAAGATTGATATATTGGAAGATGGTATACGGACACCGGAATGGTTTAGAGTGGTTCA